ATTTGGTGAGAACGTTCCAGTTGAAAATTGTTGACAAGTGTATTTGTGGTGATGCAAATTATGGTTTAGATGACGCATGACTTCAAACATTTTGTGTATCCAAATAAAACATATTACATACTAAATACGCACAGGGCATCGTCTGCTGACCATTGCCGCGGGTATATCGTGGGAGTCCCAGGTACCCGGTTCAAGCTTTAGTTGGCGGCGGTGGCTCTTCTTGACCTTCTACCCCTGAGTAGTTAGTGTGAATAAGGGCGTCTATGTGATGTTTTGCTGTACCTGTTGTGGACATTTAGTGCATCCTGTTCCCTTAACTTGTTGAGGACACCCTGTCTTGCCTCAAAAGTTACCCTTTTTGAAGTACTAGTCTTCACAACATAAAGGGCACCATTACGGAGCATGAGATTTGATCAAATTATTCGCAGTTCTACTTGTCCAACGCCCCCGGCTGGGTGAGGGATAGAGGATGACACACACACACACAGGTCACTCACTAGATCTCCTCTGCGATCAGCTTTTATAGCAATACTATCCCATATCGGGTGATGTGCATTGAGATCACCGCCTAACATTATTGGTATGTTACTATGTTGAATAAACTTGAATAAATTTTCTAGTGGGGTTTTTAAATCTTCTATTGTAGTATCTGGAGGAATGTACATAGAAATAAAAATAGTTGGATTTTTAATATTTTTAATTTTAACTGCTACTAGTTCAAGATCGACATTAGGAATTGTAATTTCTTCTGCTTGTAAAGTCGGATGTGTAAGTATGCCTGATCCGCCATAGCCATCAAGTCTACATTTCTTAAAAAAAGAATAGTTTAAGAATTTATATTTTTCTGTTTCTTTAATCCAGATTTCTTGGATTGAAAAAAATGTGTATGTTTTTAGTTGTTAAATATGTTTGAATACTTTCTCGTTTTTGTAATGGTCTAAGACTGTGTATGTTAAGTTGTGAAATATTTAGACTTTCAGTGAAGATGTTCATTATTGTAGAAAAGTTTAACTATTTTTTATGTGGATTTATTGCTTCAATTTTTTCAATTATGTTTTTAATCATTGTGCCAATTTCGATTAAAAGAAGGTCCGAGCTCGGATCCGAGTCGGTTTTACCTTCCACGTTGTGCTGTAGTAGTGTTGTAAAAAAGTTGTGTAGTTGTTTTGACATTGTCTGTATTCGCTCTGCTTCGGATACTGCATGTGGGTTGTTTGTTATTACAGTTACCTGTTCAGGGATGTGTTCCTCTTGAAGGAACATGTTTTTAACAATGGTTGGTTTTGGGTTTGGTTTCATCAGTCTTTCGACTACTTTGCTGTAGTCGATTTTTCCAGTGGTTTGTACCTCTTGTCTGAATCCTGGGTTTGGTCTATTTGGACGTTCCAGTCTTGGGAATTCATCGATAGACTCCAGAATAGCATACCTGTTTTGTGTTTTCGGATAGAGCTCTGCTGCCTCTGTGAAAGTCATTTTGTTTAACATCATAGCTGCGTTGATATGTTCTCTTCTCTTACGTTCTGGACAGTCTTTATCGGTGGGTAGATGTTTGTTTCCACAGTTCTTGCATTTCACTGGGTTTCTTTCGTCGCATCCTTGGTGTTCTTCGGAGATATATTTCCCGCATCTTAGGCATGTTTCCTTGCTTTTGCACGCTGCAGCCTTGTGTCCAAGTCTCCAGCACTTGTTACAGATTCTCACAGGGTAGATGTATATTTCCGGTTTACAGTATACTCCGTAGATCTGTACCACTCTCGGTAGTTCCGAGCCTTCTACGGTAATTTTAACCGTCCTTGTGTTGATCAGTTCGTTGTCCTTTTTCCTCTTAATTCGTTCAACACCTGTGATTTTTTTGCTGCAGATTGCATTCAATCGAATTTCTCTTTCGGTGAACGATGGAGGAATGTCTTTGATGACACCTGTCGTTTCGGTTAGCATTTTCGGAATGTACGCCTTGTAGTTGTTGTTTTTCAGGAGTGATGCCGCGTTGAGAATTTTCTCTGTATCCTGTGGTTTTTTGTAGGTCATTTTGTATCGATATTGTCCTGCTCTTTTGAGCTCCGTGAATTGGTCCAATTGTGAATCATGTAGGAATTTTCCTACTTCCATTGGTTCCAGAAGTTTTTGTCCTTCTTTAACCGAAATTGGCTCGATGAAAATAACATTGTATGCGTTGTTTTTGATGTGTATGCTTTTATCATTGTTTTTGTTAGAAGTTCCAGGCTTTGTTTGTGTTAGTATGGTTGGGATTTTTAGTGGTTGTGGTTGTGTTAGTGAGTTTGGTGGTGGTGTTGTTAGTGTATTCGTCATTTGAGATACCGATGGTTGTGTTAGTGTGTTTGATGATGATTTTGTTTGTAGTGTAAAAGTGTTAGCTGTAGCTTGTGTTAGTGTGCTTTTAGACTTGTTTGATCTTGTTCGTTTCTTATCACTTTCTTTTGTGTCTTTTTCTTCTCGTCTTTTCTTGTTCTGTTGAGACTGGTCTATCATGTCATCCTCCGGAAAGCCCCGGAAGTCGTCATCGTTGTCCATGTCTTCATCCGATGTAGGGGGTAATGGATATTCAACCATGTCCTTACCTTTATCTGGCGGCTCAGGCTGCCTGTTACTGTCCGATAGATCCATGCTTGTTAATCAAACATAGATTACCGCTTACCACTATCTGTACACTTAACCTAACTAAACTTAATATAATCTAAACAAATACACCGATTTTTTCTCTTCACTTAGATAATTAATAAAAGTAAAACAAATAAAGGTTCTTTCTCAATCTATTTAAATGAAATCACTGTAATCCACTTAAACACTGTAAAAACTTAAAAATGGCTTCCAATTTAACGCGGTTTTCCGAAGAGAACTTCACTACACTTGACTGGTAGGCAGTTTTGTGGTTCGCTCTAGTCAGCGGTCAACGGGTGAATCTTTTATTTTTTCGATTTATTTTTAAAGTCGATAAAGTAGATCTGTCAAGCCAACACATACACTCTAAAGTACACTGTTATTTTTTTTTATCAATAAATTCGCCAACCAACAGTAAAATAACAATAATATACAATGTTATTGAAAAAAATATATGGGAAAATCACGAAAATTTCATTGTTAAGATACTTAACAACCCCCCTTTTTTAAGGTAAATTTTCCATTTACCATGACATTTACTGTTTTGTACAACATAAATCAAGGTAAATTTATTGTAGACGTAACAAAATAAATCATTGTTAAGACAATAATTTTCGTCTTATTGTTACATTGTTTTTTATTGTATTTTTGTTGTTGTTTTTTTCGGGTAGCGCTAGCATATTATATAATTTTATCAGGACTGGCCACGCCACTGATCAACCATGTTAACTGACGAGCTAATTAACGTGATCATGTCGGTAATTAAGCTGTAGTACGTCTCAAAATTATCCTTACCACAATCCGCCTTTGAGGCATCCGGGGTAGTTCCAAGACGATAATCTGGAACGTCGCTTCCAATTCCCACACCAATCAACTGTTTGCTAGTAGAAGCCTTAAACGGCCGTCGGATGTACTCGCCGACCGGCGACCTTACATCATCGTATTCATCGGTCACCGGCAATTTTCTGAGAACCTCCCAACGATCCTGCGCTTTTGGCAACTTCGGCTTTGAAGAAGCCGCCTTTATGCGCTGGTAAATGGCCGTAAGTGTGCCATCAGGGTCGGTTCTCATAAAATCTGGCAAAGACACCGGTCTAACATTCCGACTGGACCGGGTCTTCCGAGCATCGCGACCGTGTTTCGCCTTGCTAGCAAACATGTTGAAAATCTGTCCAATCTTGAAAAAATGGGAAGAGCGATCAAAAAGACGTCCGCTTGGAAACGCCTCTTGTCGATTGTTAGCAGCAGTCTTCCTTATATAGACTCTCGGCATGTGCACGGTGTACACTATAGGAGGTGAGATATTCCGGAAAATGACATTTGCGCGATGACGTCATTGCTATCCATCTCGTAAACAAGCGCGAGAGAAAGCAGTCTATGAGCGAAGTTAGTGTTTTCAATGCAATTTGCTTTATTTTATTGCTTTTATTGTGGATAATATAGTGGCTTGTGTTTTCTTCATTTAGTTAAAATACTGTACGGCTGGTGTTTATGATGCGTGATGTTAGAAATTAAAACGAGAAGCATTCTGAGCTAACGATTTTCTTTCTAGAGAGCAACACGAGGATGCCTTCTCTGGCTTTAATATTTGATTTGATCTGATGAAAGTCATTCAAATTCATTGGCCAAACCCAGACATACCCCGGATTCCACCAGGGAAGTGGCTATACCCGGAGATAATCCGAGATCCACCGGGGAAGTGCCCAGAATATGACTCGAATTAAAACCTATCATGTGACACATCATATCACATGAGAATTCAAAAACAAAGTCATTGGCAGCGTCATTTTGTTTCCAGGACCACATTCCCTTCGTAATTACTGCAGTTAATTACAGCACACTTCACCATTTTCAACAAATTAAACTCGCACTGCACGGCATAAAATCTATAGTGTACACCGTGTCGCACTACACAATTCGCGTTGCTACGGTTCGCGCTGTTGAAAGATAGCAATGACGTCATTTGTTTACATCCGAACCAGATGTTTACTGTCGGTAGTAGCCTGCCTTGTTATGTATGCCGTGGGCATGTGAAAATTTGGTTACGATGGTGTTGCTATGGTAGCGACTGGAAGATGATGCGCAGTGGGTGAAAGTCGTGAAAATCGGACTTTTAGATCAACGTAGGCGTGCGTGTTTTCTTCTTCATTGAAGTGTCATTTTTTTTCACGACGCAATATCAACTGAAGAAATTGTAACGAATAGTGTTAGGATCGTTGAGGTCTTGGATGTGCGGGCCATTGTGAAAGATATTCATCCTGGACGTCTGCTTGCTGGGCCCAGGTTAGATTCCTGTCGACTGCTTTTATTTCCTTGATGTTATTGCTATTGCTATTGCTATTGCTTAAGTTGATTGCTAACCATTTTTGTTTTATTTTCAGGGAACGGATCAATCAGCGGACCCAAGCCTGGTTACTGAAATTATTGAAGTGGAAAAAGTCCGACAGGCCAGTCTCTCTTGGGGTTTGGCAGAAGAGTCGCAGCGATATCCAACAAGAGTGAACTAACTGTAATTATCAAGATAAAGGGGAAATCAACGTGCTGAAGTGAAATTAAGATATTCGCTCGAAGTTATATTCTGCTGCTTGCTTGTTCGATCAAAGATGTTCGATGGAATGTTTCCGTACGGTGCGAAACAAGTGATCATGCTCATGGATATAAATCATTGGTCTGTCCGACGATTTAAGTGCTGGTGAAATTGTTCTAAAACTGAAAAAGTAAAACAATCTTCCGTTCTCCTCGGACATCAGTGTTAGTCGCAGAATTGAAAATTGGACCTATAATCCACTTACTTCTGTCTTGGAAACCGCTGCAACGCGTCTACCTGTGCTGGAATCGATGTAGAGTGTTTGAAGAAATCAATATTATGCACTGCTTCAAATTTTCGCAGTTTGCCATATAGCATCTTCCTGAAACAGCACTACTTGTTGCCCCACAATGTGCTGGTGATCACGAAGCAAAAGAAAGTGAATCTACTTTCGTAAAGTGTGTTAATTGTGAACTGGTGAACAAACTGCGTAACCATGCAAAGGACAAAGAACTCAGCATCGACCACTCAGCTTGAAGTGATATCTGCCCAATTTTTCAGAAACCCCTGCATAATGCCAGACAAATGGTTACTTACTCAATCAACTGATATATTCCTGGATCGACTCTGGGATGCAACGATGTTGATTCTATGGAGGCAACCGATCCTCCCACCACAATCCTGACACTGTAGCCGTCTGTATGTGGGATTGGAGAAGGGGCCTTCCAACCTGAAACTGCAGGTAAGTACGATTATTTTCTGACGAGATCAACACTTAATTCGTTCTTCAGTTCCAGCGCTACGCCGATCCATCAACTATCTTCTGTCAGGTAGACACTGGAGCGCAATGATGTAGGCACCATGGAAGCCCCAGATATTCCTGCCCGTCATGGATCAACAGTCGTCCTTCGGTGTAGGGGTCGTCCAATACGCTAACCATCAGATGAAGATTTCGGAGCATACCTACCACCCGGATGCACTTCTTGCTTTGTCAGGTTAGTTCAACAGTGATTTATATCTCGCCGAAGCCGGTATGGTAACTACCTACTTCAGTCTGTTACTGACACAACCTAAACGGAAATATCTGTTATCGAGGTGACTACGCAAGGCCTGACTGACACCGTTGGTATTCCGAATACTGCCAGACCATGAACCGCTAAGAGATTACTATTTCCACGACTATTACCGATAATGCAGACAACTCTGTTTGAACGTTGACTGCATCCGCATATGCTACCAGAACGTCAAATGTCTTTGCACTAAAGTTGACGACCTCTTCATCTCGGTTAGCGATTCGGATATGGACATTATGATTACTAAGGGACAAACAAGAGGAGGGAGTGTGTTGATTGCCATCTCAAAACGCTACAGTTCGTCGGAATCAACAATCGTTGATGACGGTGGCATAGAACATCTATGGGTTAATGTGAATATAGGTTGTCGAACAATTTGTCTTGGCGTTGTATAAATTATAACAATTAAGTCCAGAGTGACTTAAAAAAAAAAACAATTTATTATTCTTAACCGACCGTTTACGTAGGTACATACGTACTTAAAGACTGAAGCTAGAAATAAATTTAGAACACTTTTATAAACTAAATCTGCTGATTCGCCATTCCTCCGGGTGGTTTGATTCTGATGCAATCTTGGTTCGCGTAGTTCGACTGGTTTTGCGCACGTCATCGATTTGTTGCTACGGGTGTCGGTTGGGTTTTGCTGACGTCTTCGCTGATTGGTAGCGTCAAGCATGGGTTTGAAAGGGTGGAAAAGACCCTACATCATTCCTGTATTCAAATTATTGTGGGATTACTTCGCTTTATGCTGGCTCGAAACTATTTGAGCTCTTAATTGGTGACTCGTTGCAGAGAACTGTAGCGCACTATATTTCAACACGGCTGCTTTCCTGGTCGCTAGATTACCACGTTGCTCTTCCCGCTTTATTACAACGAAGTCTACTTAATACTCCCTCCAGGATGCAGAATCGTGTACGCTGATGATTTCAAAATCATACCTTGTGGTTCGCTCAGTCGTCAATTGCATTGAACTTCAAACATTGATCGACGTGTTCTACGACTGGTGTGCATGTAATTAACTCAATTGCTACATGCTCAGTTATTAGTTTCAACAGAAGTAAAACCCCAAAGCAATACTGTTATTTCATAAACTGCCAGAAAATTCAGCTTGACAGAGTTGTCAAGGATCTTGGAGTTTTATTGGATACAGGACTCAAAATCCTCACAACAGCAGTATTTTTGCTAAAGAAAACAAAAATCTGGGATTCCATAGGTAGTCGCGTAAAGGAGAAAAAGCTTTACCTAAATTTTTGGTTATTAGTTATGAGGTTACGATTCTACCCTTGACATTTTTACCAGACACGACTGGACTGTTTCAGCCCATAGAGAGCTTTGTTCAGACGACACACCAGCTTTCGTTGTTCCGACCTTTTGAAACATGGAGGCTGATCTATGTAGATCTCCTCCGACAGTGCGCCATAATCATCGGGCGATATTCTTCCGGGAGACCAGCGAACAACAGAGTTCCCACCCACTTGTCGGATATCGGGAAGTCAATTCCGTTCAGCTAGTGCCCGGTAGATACAATTCGATTCACATAATCATCCATCGACGTGCAGGCTGACAGCTCCGTCTTGACTAGTTTGTGTAATAGTCCGACTCTTCGTGTCAATCCTGTGTCCTAGAATGCATACTCTAACTTTGCCCAAACATCCTCCGACGTTTGTGCCTCGTTAACATGCACATAATTATTGGGGTCCAGAAGCTTCGAAGGTTCCGTCCGCTTTCCTTTCCGGTTTCACCGCGCACGACAGTTCTTCCACCACAAACTTCCACGTAGGCTCTAAAAGTTGTGGACTACCCCACCGCTACGCTACCGCTTGCATTACCGTTCGTCATAATTATTACACGAATTCCGTGAGAAAACGACCGGAGAAAACCTTTTCTCTTCGATAGAACATTTGCGAATAGGCCTATAACCTATTAAGAAGAGATAAACGCGCAGAAGAAACAAAAACATCTTTCTACAAACAAACTGTTATATAGCCCTTTCCTCACACAGCGGAAGCCAACCACGCAAACCATCATCGTGTAGGGGAAATTTTCCTCTATCCGATGATGGTATTTGGTTTGCGTGAGTGGCCTTTGCTATATTTCCAAGTAAAAAACACCATAGTTGATAATAGAAGAGCTACGCAGAATGAAACCAAAATCTACCTATCGAGCATAGTAGACCAACTGCGTGGGGAGTATTGTTTGCACCAATCAGGATAACAGAGGAAACATTCACAACCCTTGTGAAGTCATCCGAAGTGTAAACACAAGGTTGCCAAAAATAAAAAAAATAAATGACCATTGATCGACATCAAAATTGCAAGCTTCACTCTGCGTAACTATTCTATTATCAACTCTGAAAAACACGTTTAAAACACTGCGAAATATTTTCGAGGATAGGCTAATAATCAGTTAGCCAGCACAGATAAATGTATAGATAAAGCACAGCGTATTAACTCGTACTCCAACATAAACAAACGACTTTGGCAACATATGCGTAGGTGGTTTCTAGCAACACTGCCATTTCAATCAAGATATGCGTTTCTCGATTAGCTCTGGCTTTGACAGTTCGGTTGACTTAAAATCAACCAGTCCACTCATCTCTTATCCTAGACCCTCTGCTACGAAAAGCTCGTCCTTCTTTTTGTGTATGTAAGAGCTACGTTATTTACTCGCAGAGTAATGAATTGCCTTTGTGCACCGTGTTTTTTTACGTTAAACTCTTGTAATTGGGTTGACGGTTTTGACAATAAGCTCAAACGAAAGGTCCTCATCTGAATTTTATTTCTATAACTTGAAATAAACATTCAAATTTCTTGGATTGTCTCAAACTAATGTAAAGCATCAGATTGATATAAAACCTGCACTAGATATAGCGGCAAACCATGTTTATAATTTTATCCTGCAATCATGAGATCAAACAATGAACGTTCCTCAACAAGACAGGGTCAATTAGAGGAACACTAAGATCAAAAACTGACACACTTACCCATCTTGTGCTAACGGTGGATCTGATCCTATTGAATCAAGTGATGAACAAATAGTAAACACAATACTAGTTGGCGCCAGCATCAGTGGTTTAAAAATGCTTCGCGCTAATGGCATAGTTCCCCTGCCGAAGAGCATTCCATAATGGTGTCTTGGTTAGCTTTAGTTTGGCAATACTATTTGAAGAATTCATTGGTCAACAGGATCTTTTGAAGCCTTAAACACTTAATTGAACCAAATTGAGCAACACCACTTAATTGATACACTGAATTGAACATTTTAATTCATACAAAAAATGGGATGAAAATATTAACCTACAATTACAATTTTAATTGACAAAGAAAAAATTGCAGATCATTTCAAATGTGGGACTACATTTCCTGCTCATTAAATTCTCGTTTCGGCCCTAGCTCTTCTACATAATACACTGTCACTCAAACTACCAGCTTTCTCTAAGCTGAAGTCAACTCTATCCTGTGTTTTAATAATAAAGGAGCACATATGTGAGAAGCCCCGTTAAAAGTACTGAACAAAGAATTCAGTACCTTTAAACTCCCACCACATTCCCTGCCAATCACATATGTGCTCCTGCCCTAGCTCCTAACTGATTAAAAACGCTTCTAAGGGTGGTATCACATTTCCCGGAGTTTCATTTCCAAAATGGACCATTTACGTGAAAGTAGTAAATCACGTGCAATCAAAACGGAAAAAAAAAGTTATTTCTATATTCAAAATTTTGCTAATGGGAATGTTTCCTTCTTTATTCAAATATCAAATAACAGAAATAACAATAATCAAACGGAAAGAAAACGAAAAACAAAAATAATCAAACAACGTAATGAACACTCAAAGAAGGAAATATTCCCATTTCAATCAAATTTGGTTACGGAAATATTGCCGAAAACAGTATGTTACTAAATAGCCCATTCTGAAAATAAAATCCGGGAAATGTGATACCACTCTTTTAACTAACTAGCTACTATAAGTGAACTGTAAATTTGGAAGTACCTAACTAACAAGATAAAAGGAGCACATATGTGATAGGCCCCGTTAAATGTATTGAAAAGTCACCTCTCTATTCCTAATTTCGATCCAAACCGATTTTCAATTAAATCAATTTATGATCAACCAGTTTCGATCAAAATTATCAAAAGGGATGACTTTTCAGTACATTTAAACTCCCACCACATTCCCTGCCAATCACATATGTGCTCCTGCCCTAGCTCCTATCAATCTACCTAATTCTTTTTCTACATAAATACTACATCTAAACCCTAACACTGCTAAATACTCTGAAATGCGATGATCGAGCTCACGATAGTGGTCCTTCGAACTTCATAAACAAAAAGATCTTCGATGGAAGCATTCTGCTACATCGATTGGTTTGCTTGGAAGCCATTCCCAATGGGTTTAGCCATCCAAGCACGGTCCCTGAACGAATTTTTTTCACCAAAAGGTCCCTATCCGGTGTTAATGGGTTCCGAGGAATTCTCGTAGAAAAGATGGTAGCTCGAAGTATTCGTTTGTACCCGGCTACAACATCTTTACTCGCCAGAAGACCTCGGAGAAGCTAATTAATTTTGATGAAATTCGTTGGACCACCAGTGAGCTCGATCCAAATAACAAAAATCAATACCAATCTGCTAGATGTAATTTGGAATTTCCAGCAAACCGAGGACCAGGGCCGAAACAAAAAAGGTCAATCCAACAGATTTCCAACCAAAAAGATTTTTTATCAAATTAGAATTTGGGCCACTAGCATTTTTCTGAAGCACCACAGTAGGCTGCTTCGGATACGTCAAATTTTGATCTTCGGTTTGCATACCTTGATTTTCTCTCAAGGTACACCTCTCCCAAAATCCAGCATATATAAAGTTCAGCTGTGTTCGCTGTAATTTTGGGACAGTAGTTTGCGTAGATACATCAGCAGTGGTCGGAACATACGTCACTCGTTCCAAAATATCATGGTGTATTTTGGCGTATGTTTCGAATACTGCTAATGTTGTCTCGCATTCCTGTACCTTGGATATACCTTCTACCAGAACCGAATCTACATCGGCTCTGTTATACCTAAATGCCTCACATAAATTTTGGGAATGACCTTGAAAACCCTCCCTATCTCCTAAATTCATATTAATATCTAATTCTAAACACTCAGAATTATAATCAAAATTATCCTTACCACAATCCGCCTTTGAGGCATCTGGGGTAGTTCCAAGACGATAATCTGGAACGTCGCTTCCAATTCCCACACCAATCAACTGTTTGCTAGTAGAAGCCTTAAACGGCCGTCGGATGTACTCTCCGACCGGCGACCTTACATCATCGTATTCATCGGTCACCGGCAATTTTCTGAGAACCTCCCAACGATCCTGCGCTTTTGGCAACTTCGGCTTTGAAGAAGCCGCCTTTATGCGCTGGTAAATGGCCGTAAGTGTGCCATCAGGGTCGGTTCTCATAAAATCTGGCAAAGACACCGGTCTAACATTCCGACTGGACCGGGTCTTCCGAGCATCGCGACCGTGTTTCGCCTTGCTAGCAAACATGTTGAAAATCTGTCCAATCTTGAAAAAATGGGAAGAGCGATCCAAAAGACGTCCGCTTGGAAACTACCTCAAAAGCCTCTTGTCGATTGTTAGCAGCAGTCTTCCTTATATAAACTCTCGGCATGTGAAAATTTGGTTACGATGGTGTTGCTATGGTAGCGACTGGAAGATGATGCGCAGTGGGTGAAAGTCATGAAAATCGGACTTTTAGATCAACGTAGGCGTGCGTGTTTTCTTCTTCATTGAAGTGTCATTTTTTTTCACGACGCAATATCAACTGAAGAAATTGTAACGAATAGTGTTAGGATGGTTGAGGTCTTGGATGTGCGGGCCATTGTGAAAGATATTCATCCTGGACGTCTGCTTGCTGGGCCCAGGTTAGATTCCTGTCGACTGCTTTTATTTCCTTGATGTTATTGCTATTGCTATTGCTATTGCTTAAGTTGATTGCTAACCATTTTTGTTTTATTTTCAGGGAACGGATCAATCAGCGGACCCAAGCCTGGTTACTGAAATTATTGAAGTGGAAAAAGTCCGACAGGCCAGTCTCTCTTGGGGTTTGGCAGAAGAGTCGCAGCGATATCCAACAAGAGTGAACTAACTGTAATTATCAAGCCAAAGGGGAAATCAACGTGCTGAAGTGAAATTAAGATATTCGCTCGAAGTTATATTCTGCTGCTTGCTTGTTCGATCAAAGATGTTCGATGGAATGTTTCCGTACGGTGCGAAACAAGTGATCATGCTCATGGATATAAATCATTGGTCTGTCCGACGATTTAAGTGCTGGTGAAATTGTTCTAAAACTGAAAAAGTAAAACAATCTTCCGTTCTCCTCGGACATCAGTGTTAGTCGCAGAATTGAAAATTGGACCTACAATCCACTTACTTCTGTCTTGGAAACCGCTGCAACGCGTCTACCTGTGCTGGAATCGATGTAGAGTGTTTGAAGAAATCAATATTTTGCACTGCTTCAAATTTTCGCAGTTTGCCATATAGCATCTTCCTGAAACAGCACTACTTGTTGCCCCACAATGTGCTGGTGATCACGAAGCAAAAGAAAGTGAATCTACTTTCGTAAAGTGTGTTAATTGTGAACTGGTGAACAAACTGCGTAACCATGCAAAGGACAAAGAACTCAGCATCGACCACTCAGCTTGAAGTGATATCTGCCCAATTTTTCAGAAACCCCTGCATAATGCCAGACAAATGGTTACTTACTCAATCAACTGATATATTCCTGGATCGACTCTGGGATGCAACGATGTTGATTCTATGGAGGCAACCGATCCTCCCACCACAATCCTGACACTGTAGCCGTCTGTATGTGGGATTGGAGAAGGGGCCTTCCAACCTGAAACTGCAGGTAAGTACGATTATTTTCTGACGAGATCAACACTTAATTCGTTCTTCAGTTCCAGCGCTACGCCGATCCATCAACTATCTTCTGTCAGGTAGACACTGGAGCGCAATGATGTAGGCACCATGGAAGCCCCTGATATTCCTGCCCGTCATGGATCAACAGTCGTCCTTCGGTGTAGGGGTCGTCCAATACGCTAACCATCAGATGAAGATTTCGGAGCATACCTACCACCCGGATGCACTTCTTGCTTTGTCAGGTTAGTTCAACAGTGAATTATATCTCGCCGAAGCCGGTATGGTAACTACCTACTTCAGTCTGTTACTGACACAACCTAAACGGAAATATCTGTTATCGAGGTGACTACGCAAGGCCTGACTGACACCGTTGGTATTCCGAATACTGCCAGACCATGAACCGCTAAGAGATTACTATTTCCACGACTATTACCGATAATGCAGACAACTCTGTTTGAACGTTGACTGCATCCGCATATGCTACCAGAACGTCAAATGTCTTTGCACTAAAGTTGACGACCTCTTCATCTCGGTTAGCGATTCGGATATGGACATTATGATTACTAAGGGACAAACAAGAGGAGGGAGTGTGTTGATTGCCATCTCAAAACGCTACAGTTCGTCGGAATCAACAATCGTTGATGACGGTGGCATAGAACATCTATGGGTTAATGTGAATATAGGTTGTCGAACAATTTGTCTTGGCGTTGTATAAATTATAACAATTAAGTCCAGAGTGACTTAAAAAAAAAAACAATTTATTATTCTTAACCGACCGTTTACGTAGGTACATACGTACTTAAAGACTGAAGCTAGAAATAAATTTAGAACACTTTTATAAACTAAATCTGCTGATTCGCCATTCCTCCGGGTGGTTTGATTCTGATGCAATCTTGGTTCGCGTAGTTCGACTGGTTTTGCGCACGTCATCGATTTGTTGCTACGGGTGTCGGTTGGGTTTTGCTGACGTCTTCGCTGATTGGTAGCGTCAAGCATGGGTTTGAAAGGGTGGAAAAGACCCTACATCATTCCTGTATTCAAATTATTGTGGGATTACTTCGCTTTATGCTGGCTCGAAACTATTTGAGCTCTTAATTGGTGACTCGTTGCAGAGAACTGTAGCGCACTATATTTCAACACGGCTGCTTTCCTGGTCGCTAGATTACCACGTTGCTCTTCCCGCTTTATTACAACGAAGTCTACTTAATACTCCCTCCAGGATGCAGAATCGTGTACGCTGATGATTTCAAAATCATACCTTGTGGTTCGCTCAGTCGTCAATTGCATTGAACTTCAAACATTGATCGACGTGTTCTACGACTGGTGTGCATGTAATTAACTCAATTGCTACATGCTCAGTTATTAGTTTCAACAGAAGTAAAACCCCAAAGCAATACTGTTATTTCATAAACTGCCAGAAAATTCAGCTTGACAGAGTTGTCAAGGATCTTGGAGTTTTATTGGATACAGGACTCAAAATCCTCACAACAGCAGTATTTTTGCTAAAGAAAACAAAAATCTGGGATTCCATAGGTAGTCGCGTAAAGGAGAAAAAGCTTTACCTAAATTTTTGGTTATTAGTTATGAGGTTACGATTCTACCCTTGACATTTTTACCAGACACGACTGGACTGTTTCAGCCCATAGAGAGCTTTGTTCAGACGACACACCAGCTTTCGTTGTTCCGACCTTTTGAAACATGGAGGCTGATCTATGTAGATCTCCTCCGACAGTGCGCCATAATCATCGGGCGATATTCTTCCGGGAGACCAGCGAACAACAGAGTTCCCACCCACTTGTCGGATATCGGGAAGTCAATTCCGTTCAGCTAGTGCCCGGTAGATACAATTCGATTCACATAATCATCCATCGACGTGCAGGCTGACAGCTCCGTCTTGACTAGTTTGTGTAATAGTCCGACTCTTCGTGTCAATCCTGTGTCCTAGAATGCATACTCTAACTTTGCCCAAACATCCTCCGACGTTTGTGCCTCGTTAACATGCACATAATTATTGGGGTCCAGAAGCTTCGAAGGTTCCGTCCGCTTTCCTTTCCGGTTTCACCGCGCACGACAGTTCTTCCACCACAAACTTCCACGTAGGCTCTAAAAGTTGTGGACTACCCCACCGCTACGCTACCGCTTGCATTACCGTTCGTCATAATTATTACACGAATTCCGTGAGAAAACGACCGGAGAAAACCTTTTCTCTTCGATAGAACATTTGCGAATAGGCCTATAACCTATTAAGGCTGTGGACCATTTGCCGAGTTAAATTTAACTCGTGGTTAAAAGTGACATTTCGAAAGTTATTTTCTATGTTCGAAAATCCCCGTGTTGTCGATCGACCGATTTTCGACCCACGGTTGTCAAAATTTAACTTCTTGTCTGTCAGAAATAACCATGCTCGGATAGCAGGGTTCATCGATAACTTTCCATCTGTCAAATTTTAACCAAAAGTTAAAAAAAATCGCCAAATGGTTCAGAGCCTAAGAAGAGATAAACGCGCAGAAGAAACAAAAACATCTTTCTACAAACAAACTGTTATATAGCCCTTTCCTCACACAGCGGAAGCCAACCACGCAAACCATCATCGTGTAGGGGAAATTTTCCTCTATCCGATGATGGTATTTGGTTTGCGTGAGTGGCCTTTGCTATATTTCCAAGTAAAAAACACCATAGTTGATAATAGAAGAGCTACGCAGAATGAAACCAAAATCTACCTATCGAGCATAGTAGACCAACTGCGTGGGGAGTATTGTTTGCACCAATCAGGATAACAGAGGAAACATTCACAACCCTTGTGAAGTCATCCGAAGTGTAAACACAAGGTTGCCAAAAATAAAAAAAAATAAATGACCATTGATCGACATCAAAATTGCAAGCTTCACTCTGCGTAACTATTCTATTATCAACTCTGAAAAACACGTTTAAAACACTGCGAAATATTTTCGAGGATAGGCTAATAATCAGTTAGCCAGCACAGATAAATGTATAGATAAAGCACAGCGTATTAACTCGTACTCCAACATAAACAAACGACTTTGGCAACATATGCGTAGGTGGTTTCTAGCAACACTGCCATTTCAATCAAGATATGCGTTTCTCGATTAGCTCTGGCTTTGACAGTTCGGTTGACTTAAAATCAACCAGTCCACTCATCTCTTATCCTAGACCCTCTGCTACGAAAAGCTCGTCCTTCTTTTTGTGTATGTAAGAGCTACGTTATTTACTCGCAGAGTAATGAATTGCCTTTGTGCACCGTGTTTTTTTACGTTAAACTCTTGTAATTGGGTTGACGGTTTTGACAATAAGCTCAAACGAAAGGTCCTCATCTGAATTTTATTTCTATAACTTGAAATAAACATTCAAATTTCTTGGATTGTCTCAAACTAATGTAAAGCATCAGATTGATATAAAACCTGCACTAGATATAGCGGCAAACCATGTTTATAATTTTATCCTGCAATCATGAGATCAAACAATGAACGTTCCTCAACAAGACAGGGTCAATTAGAGGAACACTAAGATCAAAAACTGACACACTTACCCATCTTGTGCTAACGGTGGATCTGATCCTATTGAATCAAGTGATGAACAAATAGTAAACACAATACTAGTTGGCGCCAGCATCAGTGGTTTAAAAATGCTTCGCGCTAATGGCATAGTTCCCCTGCCGAAGAGCATTCCATAATGGTGTCTTGGTTAGCTTTAGTTTGGCAATACTATTTGAAGAATTCATTGGTCAACAGGATCTTTTGAAGCCTTAAACACTTAATTGAACCAAATTGAGCAACACCACTTAATTGATACACTGAATTGAACATTTTAATTCATACAAAAAATGGGATGAAAATATTAACCTACAATTACAATTTTAATTGACAAAGAAAAAATTGCAGATCATTTCAAATGTGGGACTACATTTCCTGCTCATTAAATTCTCGTTTCGGCCCTAGCTCTTCTACATAATACACTTTCACTCAAACTACCAGCTTTCTCTAACCTGAAGTCAACTCTATCCTGTGTTTTAATAATAAAGGAGCACATATGTGAGAAGCCCCGTTAAAAGTACTGAACAAAGAATTCAGTACCTTTAAACTCCCACCACATTCCCTGCCAATCACATATGTGCTCCTGCCCTAGCTCCTAACTGATTAAAAACGCTTCTAAGGGTGGTATCACATTTCCCGGAGTTTCATTTCCAAAATGGACCATTTACGTGAAAGTAGTAAATCACGTGCAATCAAAACGGAAAAAAAAAGTTATTTCTATATTCAAAATTTTGCTAATGGGAATGTTTCCTTCTTTATTCAAATATCAAATAACAGAAATAACAATAATCAAACGGAAAGAAAACGAAAAACAAAAATAATCAAACAACGTAATGAACACTCAAAGAAGGAAATATTCCCATTTCAATCAAATTTGGTTACGGAAATATTGCCGAAAACAGTATGTTACTAAATAGCCCATTCTGAAAATAAAATCCGGGAAATGTGATACCACTCTTTTAACTAACTAGCTACTATAAGTGAACTGTAAATTTGGAAGTACCTAACTAACAAGATAAAAGGAGCACATATGTGATAGGCCCCGTTAAATGTATTGAAAAGTCACCTCTCTATTCCTAATTTCGATCCAAACCGATTTTCAATTAAATCAATTTATGATCAACCAGTTTCGATCAAAATTATCAAAAGGGATGACTTTTCAGTACATTTAAACTCCCACCACATTCCCTGCCAATCACATATGTGCTCCTGCCCTAGCTCCTATCAATCTACCTAATTCTTTTTCTACATAAATACTACATCTAAACCCTAACACTGCTAAATACTCTGAAATGCGATGATCGAGCTCACGATAGTGGTCCTTCGAACTTCATAAACAAAAAGATCTTCGATGGAAGCATTCTGCTACATCGATTGGTTTGCTTGGAAGCCATTCCCAATGGGTTTAGCCATCCAAGCACGGTCCCTGAACGAATTTTTTTCACCAAAAGGTCCCTATCCGGTGTTAATGGGTTCCGAGGAATTCTCGTAGAAAAGATGGTAGCTCGAAGTATTCGTTTGTACCCGGCTACAACATCTTTACTCGCCAGAAGACCTCGGAGAAGCTAATTAATTTTGATGAAATTCGTTGGACCACCAGTGAGCTCGATCCAAATAACAAAAATCAATACCAATCTGCTAGATGTAATTTGGAATTTCCAGCAAACCGAGGACCAGGGCCGAAACAAAAAAGGTCAATCCAACAGATTTCCAACCAAAAAGATTTTTTATCAAATTAGAATTTGGGCCACTAGCATTTTTCTGAAGCACCACAGTAGGCTGCTTCGGATACGTCAAATTTTGATCTTCGGTTTGCATACCTTGATTTTCTCTCAAGGTACACCTCTCCCAAAATCCAGCATATATAAAGTTCAGCTGTGTTCGCTGTAATTTTGGGACAGTAGTTTGCGTAGATACATCAGCAGTGGTCGGAACATACGTCACTCGTTCCAAAATATCATGGTGTATTTTGGCGTATGTTTCGAATACTGCTAATGTTGTCTCGCATTCCTGTACCTTGGATATACCTTCTACCAGAACCGAATCTACATCGGCTCTGTTATACCTAAATGCCTCACATAAATTTTGGGAATGACCTTGAAAACCCTCCCTATCTCCTAAATTCATATTAATATCTAATTCTAAACACTCAGAATTATAATCAAAATTATCCTTACCACAATCCGCCTTTGAGGCATCTGGGGTAGTTCCAAGACGATAATCTGGAACGTCGCTTCCAATTCCCACACCAATCAACTGTTTGCTAGTAGAAGCCTTAAACGGCCGTCGGATGTACTCTCCGACCGGCGACCTTACATCATCGTATTCATCGGTCACCGGCAATTTTCTGAGAACCTCCCAACGATCCTGCGCTTTTGGCAACTTCGGCTTTGAAGAAGCCGCCTTTATGCGCTGGTAAATGGCCGTAAGTGTGCCATCAGGGTCGGTTCTCATAAAATCTGGCAAAGACACCGGTCTAACATTCCGACTGGACCGGGTCTTCCGAGCATCGCGACCGTGTTTCGCCTTGCTAGCAAACATGTTGAAAATCTGTCCAATCTTGAAAAAATGGGAAGAGCGATCCAAAAGACGTCCGCTTGGAAACTACCTCAAAAGCCTCTTGTCGATTGTTAGCAGCAGTCTTCCTTATATAAACTCTCGGCATGTGAAAATTTGGTTACGATGGTGTTGCTATGGTAGCGACTGGAAGATGATGCGCAGTGGGTGAAAGTCATGAAAATCGGACTTTTAGATCAACGTAGGCGTGCGTGTTTTCTTCTTCATTGAAGTGTCATTTTTTTTCACGACGCAATATCAACTGAAGAAATTGTAACGAATAGTGTTAGGATGGTTGAGGTCTTGGATGTGCGGGCCATTGTGAAAGATATTCATCCTGGACGTCTGCTTGCTGGGCCCAGGTTAGATTCCTGTCGACTGCTTTTATTTCCTTGATGTTATTGCTATTGCTATTGCTATTGCTTAAGTTGATTGCTAACCATTTTTGTTTTATTTTCAGGGAACGGATCAATCAGCGGACCCAAGCCTGGTTACTGAAATTATTGAAGTGGAAAAAGTCCGACAGGCCAGTCTCTCTTGGGGTTTGGCAGAAGAGTCGCAGCGATATCCAACAAGAGTGAACTAACTGTAATTATCAAGCCAAAGGGGAAATCAACGTGCTGAAGTGAAATTAAGATATTCGCTCGAAGTTATATTCTGCTGCTTGCTTGTTCGATCAAAGATGTTCGATGGAATGTTTCCGTACGGTGCGAAACAAGTGATCATGCTCATGGATATAAATCATTGGTCTGTCCGACGATTTAAGTGCTGGTGAAATTGTTCTAAAACTGAAAAAGTAAAACAATCTTCCGTTCTCCTCGGACATCAGTGTTAGTCGCAGAATTGAAAATTGGACCTACAATCCACTTACTTCTGTCTTGGAAACCGCTGCAACGCGTCTACCTGTGCTGGAATCGATGTAGAGTGTTTGAAGAAATCAATATTTTGCACTGCTTCAAATTTTCGCAGTTTGCCATATAGCATCTTCCTGAAACAGCACTACTTGTTGCCCCACAATGTGCTGGTGATCACGAAGCAAAAGAAAGTGAATCTACTTTCGTAAAGTGTGTTAATTGTGAACTGGTGAACAAACTGCGTAACCATGCAAAGGACAAAGAACTCAGCATCGACCACTCAGCTTGAAGTGATATCTGCCCAATTTTTCAGAAACCCCTGCATAATGCCAGACAAATGGTTACTTACTCAATCAACTGATATATTCCTGGATCGACTCTGGGATGCAACGATGTTGATTCTATGGAGGCAACCGATCCTCCCACCACAATCCTGACACTGTAGCCGTCTGTATGTGGGATTGGAGAAGGGGCCTTCCAACCTGAAACTGCAGGTAAGTACGATTATTTTCTGACGAGATCAACACTTAATTCGTTCTTCAGTTCCAGCGCTACGCCGATCCATCAACTATCTTCTGTCAGGTAGACACTGGAGCGCAATGATGTAGGCACCATGGAAGCCCCTGATATTCCTGCCCGTCATGGATCAACAGTCGTCCTTCGGTGTAGGGGTCGTCCAATACGCTAACCATCAGATGAAGATTTCGGAGCATACCTACCACCCGGATGCACTTCTTGCTTTGTCAGGTTAGTTCAACAGTGAATTATATCTCGCCGAAGCCGGTATGGTAACTACCTACTTCAGTCTGTTACTGACACAACCTAAACGGAAATATCTGTTATCGAGGTGACTACGCAAGGCCTGACTGACACCGTTGGTATTCCGAATACTGCCAGACCATGAACCGCTAAGAGATTACTATTTCCACGACTATTACCGATAATGCAGACAACTCTGTTTGAACGTTGACTGCATCCGCATATGCTACCAGAACGTCAAATGTCTTTGCACTAAAGTTGACGACCTCTTCATCTCGGTTAGCGATTCGGATATGGACATTATGATTACTAAGGGACAAACAAGAGGAGGGAGTGTGTTGATTGCCATCTCAAAACGCTACAGTTCGTCGGAATCAACAATCGTTGATGACGGTGGCATAGAACATCTATGGGTTAATGTGAATATAGGTTGTCGAACAATTTGTCTTGGCGTTGTATAAATTATAACAATTAAGTCCAGAGTGACTTAAAAAAAAAAACAATTTATTATTCTTAACCGACCGTTTACGTAGGTACATACGTACTTAAAGACTGAAGCTAGAAATAAATTTAGAACACTTTTATAAACCAAATCTGCTGATTCGCCATTCCTCCGGGTGGTTTGATTCTGATGCAATCTTGGTTCGCGTAGTTCGACTGGTTTTGCGCACGTCATCGATTTGTTGCTACGGGTGTCGGTTGGGTTTTGCTGACGTCTTCGCTGATTGGTAGCGTCAAGCATGGGTTTGAAAGGGTGGAAAAGACCCTACATCATTCCTGTATTCAAATTATTGTGGGATTACTTCGCTTTATGCTGGCTCGAAACTATTTGAGCTCTTAATTGGTGACTCGTTGCAGAGAACTGTAGCGCACTATATTTCAACACGGCTGCTTTCCTGGTCGCTAGATTACCACGTTGCTCTTCCCGCTTTATTACAACGAAGTCTACTTAATACTCCCTCCAGGATGCAGAATCGTGTACGCTGATGATTTCAAAATCATACCTTGTGGTTCGCTCAGTCGTCAATTGCATTGAACTTCAAACATTGATCGACGTGTTCTACGACTGGTGTGCATGTAATTAACTCAATTGCTACATGCTCAGTTATTAGTTTCAACAGAAGTAAAACCCCAAAGCAATACTGTTATTTCATAAACTGCCAGAAAATTCAGCTTGACAGAGTTGTCAAGGATCTTGGAGTTTTATTGGATACAGGACTCAAAATCCTCACAACAGCAGTATTTTTGCTAAAGAAAACAAAAATCTGGGATTCCATAGGTAGTCGCGTAAAGGAGAAAAAGCTTTACCTAAATTTTTGGTTATTAGTTATGAGGTTACGATTCTACCCTTGACATTTTTACCAGACACGACTGGACTGTTTCAGCCCATAGAGAGCTTTGTTCAGACGACACACCAGCTTTCGTTGTTCCGACCTTTTGAAACATGGAGGCTGATCTATGTAGATCTCCTCCGACAGTGCGCCATAATCATCGGGCGATATTCTTCCGGGAGACCAGCGAACAACAGAGTTCCCACCCACTTGTCGGATATCGGGAAGTCAATTCCGTTCAGCTAGTGCCCGGTAGATACAATTCGATTCACATAATCATCCATCGACGTGCAGGCTGACAGCTCCGTCTTGACTAGTTTGTGTAATAGTCCGACTCTTCGTGTCAATCCTGTGTCCTAGAATGCATACTCTAACTTTGCCCAAACATCCTCCGACGTTTGTGCCTCGTTAACATGCACATAATTATTGGGGTCCAGAAGCTTCGAAGGTTCCGTCCGCTTTCCTTTCCGGTTTCACCGCGCACGACAGTTCTTCCACCACAAACTTCCACGTAGGCTCTAAAAGTTGTGGACTACCCCACCGCTACGCTACCGCTTGCATTACCGTTCGTCATAATTATTACACGAATTCCGTGAGAAAACGACCGGAGAAAACCTTTTCTCTTCGATAGAACATTTGCGAATAGGCCTATAACCTATTAAGAAGAGATAAACGCGCAGAAGAAACAAAAACATCTTTCTACAAACAAACTGTTATATAGCCCTTTCCTCACACAGCGGAAGCCAACCACGCAAACCATCATCGTGTAGGGGAAATTTTCCTCTATCCGATGATGGTATTTGGTTTGCGTGAGTGGCCTTTGCTATATTTCCAAGTAAAAAACACCATAGTTGATAATAGAAGAGCTACGCAGAATGAAACCAAAATCTACCTATCGAGCATAGTAGACCAACTGCGTGGGGAGTATTGTTTGCACCAATCAGGATAACAGAGGAAACATTCACAACCCTTGTGAAGTCATCCGAAGTGTAAACACAAGGTTGCCAAAAATAAAAAAAATAAATGACCATTGATCGACATCAAAATTGCAAGCTTCACTCTGCGTAACTATTCTATTATCAACTCTGAAAAACACGTTTAAAACACTGCGAAATATTTTCGAGGATAGGCTAATAATCAGTTAGCCAGCACAGATAAATGTATAGATAAAGCACAGCGTATTAACTCGTACTCCAACATAAACAAACGACTTTGGCAACATATGCGTAGGTGGTTTCTAGCAACACTGCCATTTCAATCAAGATATGCGTTTCTCGATTAGCTCTGGCTTTGACAGTTCGGTTGACTTAAAATCAACCAGTCCACTCATCTCTTATCCTAGACCCTCTGCTACGAAAAGCTCGTCCTTCTTTTTGTGTATGTAAGAGCTACGTTATTTACTCGCAGAGTAATGAATTGCCTTTGTGCACCGTGTTTTTTTACGTTAAACTCTTGTAATTGGGTTGACGGTTTTGACAATAAGCTCAAACGAAAGGTCCTCATCTGAATTTTATTTCTATAACTTGAAATAAACATTCAAATTTCTTGGATTGTCTCAAACTAATGTAAAGCATCAGATTGATATAAAACCTGCACTAGATATAGCGGCAAACCATGTTTATAATTTTATCCTGCAATCATGAGATCAAACAATGAACGTTCCTCAACAAGACAGGGTCAATTAGAGGAACACTAAGATCAAAAACTGACACACTTACCCATCTTGTGCTAACGGTGGATCTGATCCTATTGAATCAAGTGATGAACAAATAGTAAACACAATACTAGTTGGCGCCAGCATCAGTGGTTTAAAAATGCTTCGCGCTAATGGCATAGTTCCCCTGCCGAAGAGCATTCCATAATGGTGTCTTGGTTAGCTTTAGTTTGGCAATACTATTTGAAGAATTCATTGGTCAACAGGATCTTTTGAAGCCTTAAACACTTAATTGAACCAAATTGAGCAACACCACTTAATTGATACACTGAATTGAACATTTTAATTCATACAAAAAATGGGATGAAAATATTAACCTACAATTACAATTTTAATTGACAAAGAAAAAATTGCAGATCATTTCAAATGTGGGACTACATTTCCTGCTCATTAAATTCTCGTTTCGGCCCTAGCTCTTCTACATAATACACTGTCACTCAAACTACCAGCTTTCTCTAAGCTGAAGTCAACTCTATCCTGTGTTTTAATAATAAAGGAGCACATATGTGAGAAGCCCCGTTAAAAGTACTGAACAAAGAATTCAGTACCTTTAAACTCCCACCACATTCCCTGCCAATCACATATGTGCTCCTGCCCTAGCTCCTAACTGATTAAAAACGCTTCTAAGGGTGGTATCACATTTCCCGGAGTTTCATTTCCAAAATGGACCATTTACGTGAAAGTAGTAAATCACGTGCAATCAAAACGGAAAAAAAAAGTTATTTCTATATTCAAAATTTTGCTAATGGGAATGTTTCCTTCTTTATTCAAATATCAAATAACAGAAATAACAATAATCAAACGGAAAGAAAACGAAAAACAAAAATAATCAAACAACGTAATGAACACTCAAAGAAGGAAATATTCCCATTTCAATCAAATTTGGTTACGGAAATATTGCCGAAAACAGTATGTTACTAAATAGCCCATTCTGAAAATAAAATCCGGGAAATGTGATACCACTCTTTTAACTAACTAGCTACTATAAGTGAACTGTAAATTTGGAAGTACCTAACTAACAAGATAAAAGGAGCACATATGTGATAGGCCCCGTTAAATGTATTGAAAAGTCACCTCTCTATTCCTAATTTCGATCCAAACCGATTTTCAATTAAATCAATTTATGATCAACCAGTTTCGATCAAAATTATCAAAAGGGATGACTTTTCAGTACATTTAAACTCCCACCACATTCCCTGCCAATCACATATGTGCTCCTGCCCTAGCTCCTATCAATCTACCTAATTCTTTTTCTACATAAATACTACATCTAAACCCTAACACTGCTAAATACTCTGAAATGCGATGATCGAGCTCACGATAGTGGTCCTTCGAACTTCATAAACAAAAAGATCTTCGATGGAAGCATTCTGCTACATCGATTGGTTTGCTTGGAAGCCATTCCCAATGGGTTTAGCCATCCAAGCACGGTCCCTGAACGAATTTTTTTCACCAAAAGGTCCCTATCCGGTGTTAATGGGTTCCGAGGAATTCTCGTAGAAAAGATGGTAGCTCGAAGTATTCGTTTGTACCCGGCTACAACATCTTTACTCGCCAGAAGACCTCGGAGAAGCTAATTAATTTTGATGAAATTCGTTGGACCACCAGTGAGCTCGATCCAAATAACAAAAATCAATACCAATCTGCTAGATGTAATTTGGAATTTCCAGCAAACCGAGGACCAGGGCCGAAACAAAAAAGGTCAATCCAACAGATTTCCAACCAAAAAGATTTTTTATCAAATTAGAATTTGGGCCACTAGCATTTTTCTGAAGCACCACAGTAGGCTGCTTCGGATACGTCAAATTTTGATCTTCGGTTTGCATACCTTGATTTTCTCTCAAGGTACACCTCTCCCAAAATCCAGCATATATAAAGTTCAGCTGTGTTCGCTGTAATTTTGGGACAGTAGTTTGCGTAGATACATCAGCAGTGGTCGGAACATACGTCACTCGTTCCAAAATATCATGGTGTATTTTGGCGTATGTTTCGAATACTGCTAATGTTGTCTCGCATTCCTGTACCTTGGATATACCTTCTACCAGAACCGAATCTACATCGGCTCTGTTATACCTAAATGCCTCACATAAATTTTGGGAATGACCTTGAAAACCCTCCCTATCTCCTAAATTCATATTAATATCTAATTCTAAACACTCAGAATTATAATCAAAATTATCCTTACCACAATCCGCCTTTGAGGCATCTGGGGTAGTTCCAAGACGATAATCTGGAACGTCGCTTCCAATTCCCACACCAATCAACTGTTTGCTAGTAGAAGCCTTAAACGGCCGTCGGATGTACTCTCCGACCGGCGACCTTACATCATCGTATTCATCGGTCACCGGCAATTTTCTGAGAACCTCCCAACGATCCTGCGCTTTTGGCAACTTCGGCTTTGAAGAAGCCGCCTTTATGCGCTGGTAAATGGCCGTAAGTGTGCCATCAGGGTCGGTTCTCATAAAATCTGGCAAAGACACCGGTCTAACATTCCGACTGGACCGGGTCTTCCGAGCATCGCGACCGTGTTTCGCCTTGCTAGCAAACATGTTGAAAATCTGTCCAATCTTGAAAAAATGGGAAGAGCGATCCAAAAGACGTCCGCTTGGAAACTACCTCAAAAGCCTCTTGTCGATTGTTAGCAGCAGTCTTCCTTATATAAACTCTCGGCATGTGAAAATTTGGTTACGATGGTGTTGCTATGGTAGCGACTGGAAGATGATGCGCAGTGGGTGAAAGTCATGAAAATCGGACTTTTAGATCAACGTAGGCGTGCGTGTTTTCTTCTTCATTGAAGTGTCATTTTTTTTCACGACGCAATATCAACTGAAGAAATTGTAACGAATAGTGTTAGGATGGTTGAGGTCTTGGATGTGCGGGCCATTGTGAAAGATATTCATCCTGGACGTCTGCTTGCTGGGCCCAGGTTAGATTCCTGTCGACTGCTTTTATTTCCTTGATGTTATTGCTATTGCTATTGCTATTGCTTAAGTTGATTGCTAACCATTTTTGTTTTATTTTCAGGGAACGGATCAATCAGCGGACCCAAGCCTGGTTACTGAAATTATTGAAGTGGAAAAAGTCCGACAGGCCAGTCTCTCTTGGGGTTTGGCAGAAGAGTCGCAGCGATATCCAACAAGAGTGAACTAACTGTAATTATCAAGCCAAAGGGGAAATCAACGTGCTGAAGTGAAATTAAGATATTCGCTCGAAGTTATATTCTGCTGCTTGCTTGTTCGATCAAAGATGTTCGATGGAATGTTTCCGTACGGTGCGAAACAAGTGATCATGCTCATGGATATAAATCATTGGTCTGTCCGACGATTTAAGTGCTGGTGAAATTGTTCTAAAACTGAAAAAGTAAAACAATCTTCCGTTCTCCTCGGACATCAGTGTTAGTCGCAGAATTGAAAATTGGACCTACAATCCACTTACTTCTGTCTTGGAAACCGCTGCAACGCGTCTACCTGTGCTGGAATCGATGTAGAGTGTTTGAAGAAATCAATATTTTGCACTGCTTCAAATTTTCGCAGTTTGCCATATAGCATCTTCCTGAAACAGCACTACTTGTTGCCCCACAATGTGCTGGTGATCACGAAGCAAAAGAAAGTGAATCTACTTTCGTAAAGTGTGTTAATTGTGAACTGGTGAACAAACTGCGTAACCATGCAAAGGACAAAGAACTCAGCATCGACCACTCAGCTTGAAGTGATATCTGCCCAATTTTTCAGAAACCCCTGCATAATGCCAGACAAATGGTTACTTACTCAATCAACTGATATATTCCTGGATCGACTCTGGGATGCAACGATGTTGATTCTATGGAGGCAACCGATCCTCCCACCACAATCCTGACACTGTAGCCGTCTGTATGTGGGATTGGAGAAGGGGCCTTCCAACCTGAAACTGCAGGTAAGTACGATTATTTTCTGACGAGATCAACACTTAATTCGTTCTTCAGTTCCAGCGCTACGCCGATCCATCAACTATCTTCTGTCAGGTAGACACTGGAGCGCAATGATGTAGGCACCATGGAAGCCCCAGATATTCCTGCCCGTCATGGATCAACAGTCGTCCTTCGGTGTAGGGGTCGTCCAATACGCTAACCATCAGATGAAGATTTCGGAGCATACCTACCACCCGGATGCACTTCTTGCTTTGTCAGGTTAGTTCAACAGTGATTTATATCTCGCCGAAGCCGGTATGGTAACTACCTACTTCAGTCTGTTACTGACACAACCTAAACGGAAATATCTGTTATCGAGGTGACTACGCAAGGCCTGACTGACACCGTTGGTATTCCGAATACTGCCAGACCATGAACCGCTAAGAGATTACTATTTCCACGACTATTACCGATAATGCAGACAACTCTGTTTGAACGTTGACTGCATCCGCATATGCTACCAGAACGTCAAATGTCTTTGCACTAAAGTTGACGACCTCTTCATCTCGGTTAGCGATTCGGATATGGACATTATGATTACTAAGGGACAAACAAGAGGAGGGAGTGTGTTGATTGCCATCTCAAAACGCTACAGTTCGTCGGAATCAACAATCGTTGATGACGGTGGCATAGAACATCTATGGGTTAATGTGAATATAGGTTGTCGAACAATTTGTCTTGGCGTTGTATAAATTATAACAATTAAGTCCAGAGTGACTTAAAAAAAAAAACAATTTATTATTCTTAACCGACCGTTTACGTAGGTACATACGTACTTAAAGACTGAAGCTAGAAATAAATTTAGAACACTTTTATAAACTAAATCTGCTGATTCGCCATTCCTCCGGGTGGTTTGATTCTGATGCAATCTTGGTTCGCGTAGTTCGACTGGTTTTGCGCACGTCATCGATTTGTTGCTACGGGTGTCGGTTGGGTTTTGCTGACGTCTTCGCTGATTGGTAGCGTCAAGCATGGGTTTGAAAGGGTGGAAAAGACCCTACATCATTCCTGTATTCAAATTATTGTGGGATTACTTCGCTTTATGCTGGCTCGAAACTATTTGAGCTCTTAATTGGTGACTCGTTGCAGAGAACTGTAGCGCACTATATTTCAACACGGCTGCTTTCCTGGTCGCTAGATTACCACGTTGCTCTTCCCGCTTTATTACAACGAAGTCTACTTAATACTCCCTCCAGGATGCAGAATCGTGTACGCTGATGATTTCAAAATCATACCTTGTGGTTCGCTCAGTCGTCAATTGCATTGAACTTCAAACATTGATCGACGTGTTCTACGACTGGTGTGCATGTAATTAACTCAATTGCTACATGCTCAGTTATTAGTTTCAACAGAAGTAAAACCCCAAAGCAATACTGTTATTTCATAAACTGCCAGAAAATTCAGCTTGACAGAGTTGTCAAGGATCTTGGAGTTTTATTGGATACAGGACTCAAAATCCTCACAACAGCAGTATTTTTGCTAAAGAAAACAAAAATCTGGGATTCCATAGGTAGTCGCGTAAAGGAGAAAAAGCTTTACCTAAATTTTTGGTTATTAGTTATGAGGTTACGATTCTACCCTTGACATTTTTACCAGACACGACTGGACTGTTTCAGCCCATAGAGAGCTTTGTTCAGACGACACACCAGCTTTCGTTGTTCCGACCTTTTGAAACATGGAGGCTGATCTATGTAGATCTCCTCCGACAGTGCGCCATAATCATCGGGCGATATTCTTCCGGGAGACCAGCGAACAACATAGTTCCCACCCACTTGTCGGATATCGGGAAGTCAATTCCGTTCAGCTAGTGCCCGGTAGATACAATTCGATTCACATAATCATCCATCGACGTGCAGGCTGACAGCTCCGTCTTGACTAGTTTGTGTAATAGTCCGACTCTTCGTGTCAATCCTGTGTCCTAGAATGCATACTCTAACTTTGCCCAAACATCCTCCGACGTTTGTGCCTCGTTAACATGCACATAATTATTGGGGTCCAGAAGCTTCGAAGGTTCCGTCCGCTTTCCTTTCCGGTTTCACCGCGCACGACAGTTCTTCCACCACAAACTTCCACGTAGGCTCTAAAAGTTGTGGACTACCCCACCGCTACGCTACCGCTTGCATTACCGTTCGTCATAATTATTACACGAATTCCGTGAGAAAACGACCGGAGAAAACCTTTTCTCTTCGATAGAACATTTGCGAATAGGCCTATAACCTATTAAGAAGAGATAAACGCGCAGAAGAAACAAAAACATCTTTCTACAAACAAACTGTTATATAGCCCTTTCCTCACACAGCGGAAGCCAACCACGCAAACCATCATCGTGTAGGGGAAATTTTCCTCTATCCGATGATGGTATTTGGTTTGCGTGAGTGGCCTTTGCTATATTTCCAAGTAAAAAACACCATAGTTGATAATAGAAGAGCTACGCAGAATGAAACCAAAATCTACCTATCGAGCATAGTAGACCAACTGCGTGGGGAGTATTGTTTGCACCAATCAGGATAACAGAGGAAACATTCACAACCCTTGTGAAGTCATCCGAAGTGTAAACACAAGGTTGCCAAAAATAAAAAAAATAAATGACCATTGATCGACATCAAAATTGCAAGCTTCACTCTGCGTAACTATTCTATTATCAACTCTGAAAAACACGTTTAAAACACTGCGAAATATTTTCGAGGATAGGCTAATAATCAGTTAGCCAGCACAGATAAATGTATAGATAAAGCACAGCGTATTAACTCGTACAACATAAACAAACGACTTTGGCAACATATGCGTAGGTGGTTTCTAGCAACACTGCCATTTCAATCAAGATATGCGTTTCTCGATTAGCTCTGGCTTTGACAGTTCGGTTGACTTAAAATCAACCAGTCCACTCATCTCTTATCCTAGACCCTCTGCTACGAAAAGCTCGTCCTTCTTTTTGTGTATGTAAGAGCTACGTTATTTACTCGCAGAGTAATGAATTGCCTTTGTGCACCGTGTTTTTTTACGTTAAACTCTTGTAATTGGGTTGACGGTTTTGACAATAAGCTCAAACGAAAGGTCCTCATCTGAATTTTATTTCTATAACTTGAAATAAACATTCAAATTTCTTGGATTGTCTCAAACTAATGTAAAGCATCAGATTGATATAAAACCTGCACTAGATATAGCGGCAAACCATGTTTATAATTTTATCCTGCAATCATGAGATCAAACAATGAACGTTCCTCAACAAGACAGGGTCAATTAGAGGAACACTAAGATCAAAAACTGACACACTTACCCATCTTGTGCTAACGGTGGATCTGATCCTATTGAATCAAGTGATGAACAAATAGTAAACACAATACTAGTTGGCGCCAGCATCAGTGGTTTAAAAATGCTTCGCGCTAATGGCATAGTTCCCCTGCCGAAGAGCATTCCATAATGGTGTCTTGGTTAGCTTTAGTTTGGCAATACTATTTGAAGAATTCATTGGTCAACAGGATCTTTTGAAGCCTTAAACACTTAATTGAACCAAATTGAGCAACACCACTTAATTGATACACTGAATTGAACATTTTAATTCATACAAAAAATGGGATGAAAATATTAACCTACAATTACAATTTTAATTGACAAAGAAAAAATTGCAGATCATTTCAAATGTGGGACTACATTTCCTGCTCATTAAATTCTCGTTTCGGCCCTAGCTCTTCTACATAATACACTTTCACTCAAACTACCAGCTTTCTCTAACCTGAAGTCAACTCTATCCTGTGTTTTAATAATAAAGGAGCACATATGTGAGAAGCCCCGTTAAAAGTACTGAACAAAGAATTCAGTACCTTTAAACTCCCACCACATTCCCTGCCAATCACATATGTGCTCCTGCCCTAGCTCCTAACTGATTAAAAACGCTTCTAAGGGTGGTATCCCATTTCCCGGAGTTTCATTTCCAAAATGGACCATTTACGTGAAAGTAGTAAATCACGTGCAATCAAAACGGAAAAAAAAAGTTATTTCTATATTCAAAATTTTGCTAATGGGAATGTTTCCTTCTTTATTCAAATATCAAATAACAGAAATAACAATAATCAAACGGAAAGAAAACGAAAAACAAAAATAATCAAACAACGTAATGAACACTCAAAGAAGGAAATATTCCCATTTCAATCAAATTTGGTTACGGAAATATTGCCGAAAACAGTATGTTACTAAATAGCCCATTCTGAAAATAAAATCCGGGAAATGTGATACCACTCTTTTAACTAACTAGCTACTATAAGTGAACTGTAAATTTGGAAGTACCTAACTAACAAGATAAAAGGAGCACATATGTGATAGGCCCCGTTAAATGTATTGAAAAGTCACCTCTCTATTCCTAATTTCGATCCAAACCGATTTTCAATTAAATCAATTTATGATCAACCAGTTTCGATCAAAATTATCAAAAGGGATGACTTTTCAGTACATTTAAACTCCCACCACATTCCCTGCCAATCACATATGTGCTCCTGCCCTAGCTCCTATCAATCTACCTAATTCTTTTTCTACATAAATACTACATCTAAACCCTAACACTGCTAAATACTCTGAAATGCGATGATCGAGCTCACGATAGTGGTCCTTCGAACTTCATAAACAAAAAGATCTTCGATGGAAGCATTCTGCTACATCGATTGGTTTGCTTGGAAGCCATTCCCAATGGGTTTAGCCATCCAAGCACGGTCCCTGAACGAATTTTTTTCACCAAAAGGTCCCTATCCGGTGTTAATGGGTTCCGAGGAATTCTCGTAGAAAAGATGGTAGCTCGAAGTATTCGTTTGTACCCGGCTACAACATCTTTACTCGCCAGAAGACCTCGGAGAAGCTAATTAATTTTGATGAAATTCGTTGGACCACCAGTGAGCTCGATCCAAATAACAAAAATCAATACCAATCTGCTAGATGTAATTTGGAATTTCCAGCAAACCGAGGACCAGGGCCGAAACAAAAAAGGTCAATCCAACAGATTTCCAACCAAAAAGATTTTTTATCAAATTAGAATTTGGGCCACTAGCATTTTTCTGAAGCACCACAGTAGGCTGCTTCGGATACGTCAAATTTTGATCTTCGGTTTGCATACCTTGATTTTCTCTCAAGGTACACCTCTCCCAAAATCCAGCATATATAAAGTTCAGCTGTGTTCGCTGTAATTTTGGGACAGTAGTTTGCGTAGATACATCAGCAGTGGTCGGAACATACGTCACTCGTTCCAAAATATCATGGTGTATTTTGGCGTATGTTTCGAATACTGCTAATGTTGTCTCGCATTCCTGTACCTTGGATATACCTTCTACCAGAACCGAATCTACATCGGCTCTGTTATACCTAAATGCCTCACATAAATTTTGGGAATGACCTTGAAAACCCTCCCTATCTCCTAAATTCATATTAATATCTAATTCTAAACACTCAGAATTATAATCAAAATTATCCTTACCACAATCCGCCTTTGAGGCATCTGGGGTAGTTCCAAGACGATAATCTGGAACGTCGCTTCCAATTCCCACACCAATCAACTGTTTGCTAGTAGAAGCCTTAAACGGCCGTCGGATGTACTCTCCGACCGGCGACCTTACATCATCGTATTCATCGGTCACCGGCAATTTTCTGAGAACCTCCCAACGATCCTGCGCTTTTGGCAACTTCGGCTTTGAAGAAGCCGCCTTTATGCGCTGGTAAATGGCCGTAAGTGTGCCATCAGGGTCGGTTCTCATAAAATCTGGCAAAGACACCGGTCTAACATTCCGACTGGACCGGGTCTTCCGAGCATCGCGACCGTGTTTCGCCTTGCTAGCAAACATGTTGAAAATCTGTCCAATCTTGAAAAAATGGGAAGAGCGATCAAAAAGACGTCCGCTTGGAAACTACCTCAAAAGCCTCTTGTCGATTGTTAGCAGCAGTCTTCCTTATATAGACTCTCGGCATGTGAAAATTTGGTTACGATGGTGTTGCTATGGTAGCGACTGGAAGATGATGCGCAGTGGGTGAAAGTCGTGAAAATCGGACTTTTAGATCAACGTAGGCGTGCGTGTTTTCTTCTTCATTGAAGTGTCATTTTTTTTCGCGACGCATTAACAACCGAAATTTTTTTAACAGATTGTGATAGGATGGTTGAGGTTTTTATTGTGCGACTGAGTTAGGTGATTTTTTGGCCAGAAGTGTGCGGGTGAATCCGGATTTCCTAGCGGTTAAAATGTCGTGATGGATTCGTAGTCATTCCGTATGTTGGTGCGCTTCGGCTGCTGGGCCCAGGTTAGATTCCTATCGGCTTCGTTTATTTCCTTGATGAGGCTCCGCCGTGGGTCTGCTTCTGCTGCGATGTTCGGCCGGGTTTCAAAATCAAATGTGGTTTCCGCCCCTTCGTAGTGTGTTGCCGACCCATTTTCACGAATTTCTGTTCAGTGGTCCAGTTGAGAAGCCACAAGGCACAAATTATACACCGCAGGCATCGGTTGATGAAGACGTGCAGCTTTGTTGTGTTCTCCGCAAATATAAACAACGTTTCGCGGCCATACCTAACAACACAGATTTCACGTTTGAATAAAAAGTTTTCGCCGAAAAATTTAAATGAGATTCCGGATGTAAATCAGAACGATTAAAATTTTACAATGTTTTTCTTCTTGTTTCAGGATGTCACCAATAACATCACCAGATGAAGCCAAGATCATCAAACCCAATCCAACGGTGAAAATCGAAATCGGTGGTTGGAAGATCATCGCCAAAAGATTAATCGAACGGAATCTGGAATTGGAGGAAATTGATGTTCTCAAGAGGAAGATTTTCTGCTGGGATGTGCACCACAAGAATCGAGTAAAGGAAGTACGAAGTATTTACCACGGAAAAGAATCTGTCCGACTAGCTGGAAAGGGTCAGTCAATTCTGAGTCAAGCGCAAACCTGTTCCAAGTACGAGTGTGAGGACGATATCAAGTTCTTCGAGAACCGTATCGCCCAAGGTCATAAGGCTGGCAGTTCAGTGGGATGTGCGTGTTTCTTCGACAACATCAATCACATTGAGGCTGGAAGTCACATCAATGTCTAACGATCAAGAGTGTGAAGGGTGTGATTTTTGCTGAAATTTTCTGGAATGTTGATTAAAATAGTTTACACCGACAAATTGGATGTAGATAAATATCAAACTTATTTATTTTCTACTCAGTTGTTGATAAACCAGATTCAGTGTATGGCTTGCAGCTCTGTAACTTCATATTCCAAGGGTCGTAGTTCAGCGGAGGTTCAGAAGCAGTAGACTAAGGTTCCCATTATGTGTAGAACACAAGTCGCAACTCGTCTTCACTGTTGTTGCTTGTACTATATCCCGTAACGATGGGTATTATGACTCCGGAGATGGTACCGAATCCGTTGGTAATCCCCATCAGAACAGCTACACTTTTTGGAGAAATATCTAAGGGGCTCAGCAGGTAATCGCACCATGCGACTCCGCCAAAGCCAACGACCAGAGTAACACAGGAGCCCAGATCAACATGCATACAAGCAAGTGAAGTACTTCTGGACCTGGGTGGTGCTGAGGTAGCCGTGAATCTGCAGCCAACCAGCCAGATATCAGGATGTGCTTAAGAATGATGGACATTGCCAGGTATGGCAGAGCGGATAGTATTCCGGAGTCCTGTAGGTCACAGTTCAGGGAGGCTGAAAGGGTTGATAGACCTTATCAGTCAGTACCTCTTCGCTCTCACTGCGGCCTGAGTTAATGTAGACACTTTCAAATATCTACGGCGAGAAGTAGCATTGATCATTAATTAAGACTCACTTTGCGGATCTCAACGCAGCAAACATGACCGATTAATTTATTGCACTCGACGGAGTGTTCTTTGACCACTTCCATAGTTTCTATTTGAGAGCTATCTAAGCCTCTATACTTATTACATTTATATATTTTGGAAATTTACGGTGTTGCCTAATTCATAACGAATATATGCAGTGCTGTTACTGTTGTTTTCGTCATTTTCGAGCTAAGTAATCGCATGTTTTTTTTTTCATTTGGCTCCATATATACAAGATAGAAATGGCGATAACTCGATCAAAATCGTGGCATCTATTTTTTTCTGAAGAACCTAGAATTCACAGGGAAATTTATGTTTCATGAAAATACCTGGAATTTGCACAGATTATTTTCAAATTCTCCTACTAAGAATATTTTTAAGAATGCAATGCACTTTATAAACATTATTCAGTGACAAATAAAATTTAAAAAAATGCAACGGTTCGAAATGTTTAGTTTTTCTGGTTCAATAATATGCATATTTCACAGATCTAAAAAAGTATTGCTTCTTGTGAGGTTCCCTGACACAAGTAGAATTTAGTTGTTAGCATCTGATTTTCATCTGGAACACATTTCATATCTACCTTGTTAACATGGTACGTGAAAATCACGTAGGGGAACTAGGGGCAAAAAGGTCACCCTAACGATAGCGCATTTTAATATGCGATTCCGTGAATATTCATAGGAGTTCGCGAACCGAATTGTAAGTTTATAACCTTGTCTCCATGTATCATCATTGAAATTAAAATTAAACCCCATAAAAAAATGTTAATGATTTTTTCAAAATGTCATGTCGTACCTGCTCTAAAAAATGCTACGGGGCAAGAGGGCCACTCTTATGGGGCAAAAAGACCATATGTCTAAAATGAAGTGAAACTGATAAATGTTCATTTCTAAACAACAAATTACTATTCTTAGGTATGACAGCAACTACTTTTATTGTTCATTCCACTAAAATATTGACTTAACGATATTTGTTTTCATCCAAAACATATAAACCATGTGCGTCAAAGAATTCAAATGGATACTATTTTTGATACTATTTCATACAGTTTGTTTTCCAAAATTTCACGAAGACAATGTATATTGGAAACATAAATGCCCAATTGTGCTAATTTCTGAACAGTTTTGTACAATTTAATACATAAATGTAGGGGTGGCACTCTTGCCCCGTATAAAGTTTATTTTTAGGAATATAATTGTTCCGTCCGTTCCCAGGAGGACTGAAGTGAGGTAGCACCCAATCCTATTTCTACGGCAACACTACGAACAGCGACGCTCAATACTATCGAATCCCTACCGTGCGAGGGAGAACAGTACAAAACGAGATCAGTATTAATTCAACCTTCAAAGTGTGTACACTAGAGCAAAGAGCAATAATTGTAGTTAAGTTAGTGTAGCAAAAGTGTTCTTTCCATCGAACCGATCATCCGAAATTACAGTCCACCACCGAAAATCCGTCCATCCAAGGGAATCGTCAAGGGCACTTCCAGTGTCATCCCAAGATCGTTTTCCACGACGATTCCCTCCGCATGTGTTATGGTTCATTGCATCGGAACATAATTTGGTCCTTCGAACCGGATCGGAATGCAGCCAAGGTTTAGCTGCCCACGAAGAGGATCGGTACCCAGTCCACGAGAGGTTTCCTGCCAGGAGAAAAGCCTAATCATCCCGAGCGAACACATCGTTGCTACACAAAACGAAACGAAAACGAGTTTCTCTTGCTGCTGGTGCTGTGTACACACATTCGTATGCGCCGCGTAGTGAGCGGTCCGCAATCGTCCGCCATCGAAAAAGAAAAAAAGTGAACGCCATTTTGCTAAATCCGAACGAGTCGAAAACAAGTGCGTGCGTGTAAAAGGTCATGTACAGTTGCGTCGTGTGTGCAACGTTGCCAATTTAGTGCCGAATCAATCAATCGTTGCCGAACTCATACCGAAACATTTAGTCCCGTCGCGTGTGCTACGTTGCCAGATCCGTGTCGAAACGATCAGTGCGTCGCGTGTGTTAGAAAAAGGACAACTGAAAAATAAGAACAAAAGTGAAAAAGTGACCTTGAAGACAAACCAAAAAATGCCGGTAGAACATTCACCGTTGAAACAAGTGCAGCAAGAGGAGCAAGTACAACAATTGGATCAAGCGGAACAATCAGAAGACGTTCCAATTGTGCAACATATGGAGTTGCCGGGTCCGCCTACCGGGCACCTTTCAAGATCCAATTCATCAGGTTCATTTCACGGATTCAATTGGGAGGAGGCTATGGATTCTGAAACGATGCGGAGATTGAAGGGTCTGTTCCGGCAGAGAGGACAAATCGAGCAGAAGCTAGTGCGAATCCAGTTAACCTTGAGAGACCAGAAAAGTATGAGATTGGTCCAGCTGCAGTGCACCAAGGAAAAACTCGTAGCCATCTACACCGAGTTTAGCCACTTCCATAGCGAGATCATGGCCTTGATTCCTGACGAAGCATCGGATGAGCAGGATGACATTTACTGCTCCTTCGAGAATCGTCACAGTGAGTTGTCAAATCGCGTTCAGGAATTGATCAACTTCGCTACACCACGGCAACCTGCAACTTTTTCTGTTCCCGCACCACAAGTCATCATCCAGCAACAACCACTGAAAGCGCCAATCCCTACGTTTGACGGCAATTACGCTAATTGGCCGAAATTCAAGGCGATTTTCCAAGACGTGATGGCGCAGTCTGGGGACTCGGAAGCGCTGAAGTTGTACCATCTGGACAAAGCGCTGGTTGGATCCGCTGCTGGAATCCTGGATGCGAAGACGATCAATGAAGGTAATTATCAGCAAGCCTGGAAGGTGCTATCCGATCGGTACGAGAATACGCGTGTGATTGTGGAATCGCACATCCGAGGATTGCTTTCGTTGAAGAAGATGTCGAAAGCAACGTTTAAGGAATTGAATAGCCTGCTGAGCGAAGCAACGGGTCACGTCGAAAGCCTTCGGTACCAGAAGCAAGAGCTGGTCGGTATTTCCGAGCACATCGTGGTGTATCTCATCGTCACTGCCTTGGATGATTCGACGCGAATGGCCTGGGAACGTACCCAACAGAGAGGAGTGCTGCCGAAGTACGAACAGACAATTTCATTCATCAAGACCAGCTGTCAAGTCCTAGAGCAGTGTGAGTCATCGCGAGTGCTAGCGCAACCAACTATCTCCAAACCCAAAGCCATATCGATTACAAGCAAGATGCCGTTGCTGAAGAGCAACACAGCCACCACGAGTTCCAGCACATCCCAAGGTCATTGCCAATTCTGTGGCAGTGGACATTTCAACTTCCAGTGCACGGAGTTCAAACAGCTAACAGCAACTCAGAGGGCAGAGAAAGTTCGAACGACAGGTTTGTGCTTTAACTGCCTCCGCAAGGGACACCAATCCAAACAGTGTACGTCCAGCAAAACGTGTCGAAAGTGCAGCAGAAGACATCATACCCTACTACATGATGACAACGAAAGGGACAGCAGCCAGGATGTCAAAGCGAACGTCGCTTCGCCAAACAATCGTGAAATCAACAAACCACCAGCTAGTGTTCAACCTCCTGCTTCGGTGGTAGATGAACCCTTGTCCACTGCATGCTCAAGCAATCACGTCCAAACATCGAAGACCGTTTTGCTGCTTACTGCAGTCGTCCAAGCCATCGATAAGCATAACCAACCGCATCCATGTCGAGTCCTGCTCGACAGTGGGTCACAAGTGAATTTCGTCACCGAAGAAATGGCAAACCGCCTCGGTTCTCCTAAGATGAAAGCCAACGTCCCGATTACTGGAATCAACGCCTTGAGAAGCCTAGCTCGTGACAAAGTGTTCGTAAAATTCCGATCGAGCTACGGAGACTTTCAAGCCAACATCGAGTGTCTGGTTACACCCAAGGTAACTGGAACTATTCCAAACAGCAGAATCGATTTCAGCACCTGGAAATTCCCTGACGGCATCCAACTCGCCGATCCACGTTTCTTCTGCCCCGAGAAGGTCGACATGCTGATGGGGGGAGAGCTTTTCTTCGACATTTTGAAGCCCGATCACCTGAGCCTAGGTGCAAATCTACCGCAACTTCGGGACACTCATCTTGGATGGGTGGTAGCCGGAGTGATAAACGAGCCGTACGTTTCGAACGCGGCTATCCAACACGCCAACTCTGCTTCGATCGATTACATCGAGGAATTGATGCACCAATTCTGGAAGATGGAGGAAGTACCAGACGCTTCTCCATTTTCACCCGAACAGCTGTCCTGTGAAGCCCATTTCTTATCGACGTACGAGCGTGATTTGACCGGTAGGTTTGTTGTGAAGCTGCCATTCAAGGATAACGTGGACCAGTTGGATAACTGCCGCTTTCTGGCGCTCAAGCGATTCTTCATGCTCGAAAAACGTTTGGAACGCAATCCCGAACTCAAGCAACAATACGTCGGTTTTATCAAGGAGTACGAGGATCTCGGCCACTGCCGGGAAATCAAGGAAGCTGATGACCCACCGAATCTGAGTAGGTACTACCTGCCCCATCATGCGGTGCTGCGTCCTTCGAGCTCAACCACCAAGTGTCGAGTGGTATTCGACGCTAGCGCCAAGTCCGAACCATCCAAGCTGTCGCTCAACGAGGTGCTCCAAGTCGGCCCAGTAGTGCAGAATGGAATATTCTCAATAACGCTGCGATTCCGTAAGTACCCATATGCTTTTTCAGCCGATGTAGCCAAGATGTACCGTCAAGTGCTCACGGCGCTACTGGACAGGCGGTTCCTGCGATGCTTCTGGCGATCCGATCCATCGCATCCGTTGAGGGTACTTGAATTGAATACCGTTACGTACGGTACAGCTTGTGCACCATACCAAGCAACGAGGTGTTTGGTGCAGCTTGCCCAGGAAGAAGGTTCTGAGTATCCCATCGGTGCTCGGATCCTGATAGAAGACTTCTACGTCGACGATGCTCTATCTGGAGCCAACACCCTCGAAGATGCCATCGAATGCCAACGTCAGCTGAAAGCACTGCTTGCCAGAGGTGGATTTCATATCCACAAATGGTGCTCCAACTCGGATGAGTTTCTCGAGCACATACCACCTGCAGATCGAGAAAAGAAAGTTCCGTTACACGAGTATGGACCCAACGAAGTAATCAAGGTACTCGGATTGCTCTGGGATCCGAACATCGACATTTTCATGATTGCCAATCCACCAACCATTTCGCAACCTGCCGATAAACCAGCCACAAAACGCATCATTTACTCCGAGGTGGCAAAATTGTTTGATCCACTCGGACTGTTCGCTCCAGTGATCGTCACCGCGAAGTTATTGGTTCAGCAGCTTTGGAGGACATCAGCAGGATGGGACGATCCAATCGACGAGGATACTCAAGAACAATGGTCCACTCTTCAAGCATCACTACCGGAGCTTGGTCGTATTCACATTCCAAGGTGTGTCACGTTCCCGGATACTATCGCTCACGAGTTGCATGGTTTCGCTGATGCATCGAATGTGGCGTACGGTGCGTGCGTCTATTTGAGGAGTATTTTCGCCAATGGATCCGCAAGCTTACGTCTTCTGTGCAGCAAGTCAAAGGTCGCTCCATTGCACGATCTTTCCATTCCACGAAAGGAACTTTGTGCTGCGCTTCTGTTGACGCAATTGGTCGGTCAAGTGATTCCAGCGCTTCAGATGTCTTTCCGAGAAGTTGTTCTTTGGTCGGACAGTACAATCGTTCTAGCATGGCTCAAAAAACCCTTGGATCAGCTTCAAACTTTTGTGAGGAATCGGATTGCTGTAATACAAACGGAAACCAGTGAGTATCGATGGAATTATGTTCGTTCGGCTAGCAATCCCGCCGATATCGTCTCTCGAGGCCAACTGCCGGAAGCTTTGAGACAGAACAGCCTTTGGTGGAATGGTCCGAAGTTCCTGTCCGCATCCGAATACGACGGTGAAGACACCGAAGAGATTCCCGACAACAACCTTCCCGAGCTGAAGGTCCAAGTTGCAACTCCTGCGGTAAGTTGTGAGCCTTTTCCGTTCTTCTTCAAACACAGCTCTTTTCGAAAAATTCAACGCATCATGGGCTACGTGTTGAGGTTCGTCAGCAACTGCCGAAGGCCACGGTCACCCGATCGTGTGAAGCAAGCCCATCTCACTGTCGAAGAGCTACGTCAAGCATCGGAAGCAATCGTCAAGGTGATTCAACAAGTACACCTTGGTGATGAAATTCAACGACTGGTCTCCAATCAACCATGCAAACGTCTGGGCAACCTGCGCCCGGTGTATGAAAACGGCTTGCTGCGAGTCGGAGGCCGATTGGATCGCTCGAAACTGCCGTTTGCAGCGAAGCATCAACTCATTCTTCCCGACAAGGATCCTGTAACGAGAAAGTTGATTAGTGCATTGCATTTAGAGCATCTTCACATCGGTCAAGCCGGTTTGATCAACATCATTCGACAGAGGTACTGGCTTTTGAACGCAAAGTCTACTGTGCGACAAGTAACACGGTCATGTGTGAAATGTTTTCGCACGAATCCTGATGAAACCAAACAGCTAATGGGAAATCTACCGACATCGAGAATCGTACCATCGCCTCCGTTCGCAGTGACTGGTGTGGATTATGCCGGTCCGTTTCTGGTGAAACAAGGTTCACATCGTCCGAAGCTCGTGAAAGCGTATGTAGCAGTCTACGTATGCATGACGACGAAGGCTGTGCATTTGGAGGTCGTATCCGATCTGTCGTCGGATGCCTTCCTAGCGTCGTTGAAGAGATTCATCAGTCGAAGAGGAATGGTCCAACAAATTCATTCGGACAATGCAACTAATTTCCACGGAGCAAACCACGAACTACACGAGTTGTATCGGCAATTCCAAGATCAACAAACTGCGAAGAAGATCCAACAGTTCTGCCAAGCACGTGAGATACAGTGGCATTTCATCCCGCCGGACGCACCAGAGTTCGGTGGTCTCTGGGAAGCGGCGGTTAAGGCGACGAAAACCCACCTGAAGAGAGTCGTACGCAACGTGAAGCTGACATTCGAAGAAATGGCGACCATACTGACGGAGATAGAGGCCATCCTTAACTCGCGTCCGTTGTACAGCGTGTCCAGCGATCCTGCAGATCCACAGGTAATTACGCCAGCTCACTATCTTATAGGTCGTCCGCTGATCGCTCCAGCCGAGCCGTCCCTGGAAGATATCAACGTTAACCGACTCGATCGATGGCAACATCTGCAACTGATGCGTGAGCATTTTTGGCGAGCGTGGTCCAGGGATTACCTCAATTCTCTCCAACCACGCAAGAAGAATCTACGAACGACACCAAACCTTCGACCTGGAATGGTGGTCGTACTCCACGACAAGACTCAACCCCCGCTCAGCTGGAAGCTGGGTCGAATCACATCAGTGTATCCTGGTGATGACGGTTTAGTACGGGCCATCGATGTGTTCACCAACGGATCAACGTACCGTCGTCCTATCAACAAGGTCTCCGTACTTCCAATCGAGGACAACGTTTGCCCCTCATCGGTACCTGAAGCTGTTGATACGATGTCTCAACCGGGGGGAGAATGTTCCGTCCGTTCCCAGGAGGACTGAAGTGAGGTAGCACCCAATCCTATTTCTACGGCAACACTACGAACAGCGACGCTCAATACTATCGAATCCCTACCGTGCGAGGGAGAACAGTACAAAACGAGATCAGTATTAATTCAACCTTCAAAGTGTGTACACTAGAGCAAAGAGCAATAAATGTAGTTAAGTTAGTGTAGCAAAAGTGTTCTTTCCATCGAACCGATCATCCGAAATTACAGTCCACCACCGAAAATCCGTCCATCCAAGGGAATCGTCAAGGGCACTTCCAGTGTCATCCCAAGATCGTTTTCCACGACGATTCCCTCCGCATGTGTTATGGTTCATTGCATCGGAACAATAATTTTTGATTAATTAAAGAAAATATTTAATAATTTATTGCTACTAATGTTTCAATCAACCATCAATAGTGACGTCTTAATGCAGAAATTGTGAAAAAAATAAATTGGAAATTTCGAAAACCTTGTTTTATGATGCCTTATTCTTATAAAAAACTAGCTTTTCAATGCATCAACACAAAATGATTTTTTGCATTTTTTTTACGACTTCGATTCAGGGAACACCATTCTGCCGATACTGACAATTATCGACAATTACAATTATGCAAAAATTATGTATTTTGGATTTTTTCTCTCTTGAACAGAATGCGGAGTGGACTTTTTTGATGTACTGACCATAACAACCGACCAGATTCATAAGTGTTTACGACCAGTAAAAATTACTTGGAAGTACTATTTACTATTCCAGTTAATTTCCGTAAGTAAAATTCTTGATAAACTGTTAGCACATGAACCGCTAAAACAAAAAAAAAACTCTTTTTAATAAATATGCAAAATAATTAGTTTGTTCACGTCGTTTGATCCAGTGCATCGTTTGCGACTTCCCGGACAAGTTTGTGATTCTGTGTTATCTTCCGAAGCAGCAAGTAGTAGCAAACTATACATTCGTTCAGCAGAAACCCCATAGGACGGAAACCCGGACGACACCGCACCGGAAGTGAATGAGATTTAAGAAAGTGGAGTCTCTGGAGAGTTCTTTTAAGGAGAATCATCTGGTAAAAGCCTAGATCAGACTGAAAATGAAATTCGCATCTACGATACAGCAACTTGTGGTCAGGATTTTACTCTTGACCGTCAAGCAGTATAGTTCGGTTTTTACTCGCTCTCTCGAGTTGTTTGGTGAAGCATCGCCCGACCCCAGCATGTGGAAACCGCCGCGTGTTGACGCAACAGCTATTCTGGCCGGGAAACAGTCCCGATCGGACACCACCACTGTTGGCGAACAATCGTTACGCCATCCTGGTAAACGACGGTGAAGGTTCTTCGTGAAAGGATTCCCAGAAGGCTTGTGGGAAAAACTCCACTTTTACATTAGTAAATATTTCAAGTGCACCAAGTGATGGTTCCATCGATAAACCACTACAAGGCCGTCGAGGCGTTGCTGAAGTAGAAAAACGTAGAGTATTTCTCTTAGCCGCTCAAGCGTGACCTTCCCGACATGGAAACAGTCACACAGTCAGTCAGGAATTCAACATGCTTGAAGGACCTCCAGAGTATTCGGGCCCTTTTCCACATCGTGGGAACAGTACAAGCCAGTCCACCGTGATGTCACCCAATGCGTGAACTGCATGCTGTTCGGGCATGGAATGAGAAACTGCCACATGGCCTCCTGTCGGCCACAACATTACCGTTACGGCTTACTGCCCCAAACAAGTCAACATCATGTACGAGTCGGCAGCAGGCCTAAGAAGAGATATTATCAAGCTAACACGACGGCGGGAAAGCTTAATCATCGCTGGTGACCTGAACGCCAAACATCAAGCCTGGGGCAATCAAAATGGCACCGTCCTATACAATGACCTGCAGGAAGTGCAGTACAACATCTTGAGTCCAGACACTCCCACCGGGTTGAGTAGGTCCAGTGCTCACGCCACCATCGATATCTACATCAGCAACATGGGCAACAACAACCTGTCGTCTATCAGGAACTTAGCTCGGACCACTGGTGGCTGAAGTTGGTTACTCAGTCTTTTTGGCTCAGCTCTGGTACTCTCTTCGGTCCCAAGCTAATCGATTCACCCCTCGAAACATAGGAAAAACCAATAACCCCTCATTTTATCTGTCAAACTTTCATAGCGAATCAAAACAAACATTGCGTAGTACTAGAATTTCGACTAGAATAGGGTACGTTAATCGTTTGCTTGGTACCAATAGGCTAGTCAAGTAGCGAGCCAATTTAAAATAGTTAGTTTCGTATTGATTGTTGGTAATATCATAGAGGTAACTCTAATACCCCGTTCACATTGCAGACTATATCACGTAATATAGGCTGTCTTGCAATGAGCACTTCCAGTGAAAACTAGATGTATTAGTGCTCATTGCAAGACAGCGTATATCACGTGATATACGCTGTAATGTGAACGGGGTATAAGCAACAATCAATACGAAACTAACGATTTTAAATTGGCTCACCACTTTAGTAGCCTATTGGTCCTAAGCAAACGATTAACGTACCCTATTCTAGTTGAAATTCTATTACTACACTATGTTTGTTTTGATTCGCTATGAAAGTTTGACAGATAACATCAGGGGTGTGTGGATTCATGCAGAACATGCAGGGGTGAGTGAAATAGCTTGGGACTGCTTGGGACCGTTGTTCTGGTACTGAGTGAGCCAAAAATAATAATGATTTTCTTCGGGACCCAGTGGTCTTAGAGTTACCTCTATGGTATAAGACTAGTAGCATAGAGGTAACTCTAAGACTACTGGGTCCCGAAGAAAATCATTATTATTTTTGGCTCACTCAGTACCAGAACAACGGTCCCAAGCAGTCCCAAGCTATTTCACTCACCCCTGCATGTTCTGCATGAATCCACACACCCCTGATGTTATCTGTCAAACTTTCATAGCGAATCAAAACAAACATAGTGTAGTAATAGAATTTCAACTAGAATAGGGTACGTTAATCGTTTGCTTGGGACCAATAGGCTACTAAAGTGGTGAGCCAATTTTAAATCGTTAGTTTCGTATTGATTGTTGCTAGTAGGTCCTTAAGAAACGTGCCTAACTTTTTGGCTCAGCTCTTGTACTATCTTCGGTCCCAAGCTAATTGATGCACCCCTCGAAACACAGGAAAATCCACGAACCCCTCATTTTATCTGTCAAACTAATAAAATAAAACATAGTGTAGTACTAGAATTTCGCCTAGAATGGGGTACGTATATCGATTTGCTTGGGACCAATAGGCTAGTCAAGTAGTGAGCGAGGTACACGGATAGAAATTTCCTTATACCTTTTGGTAAATTTCTATTGCTGATTATTCATAAAATGTATAAGTCAACTAATAAGCAGACGCCTTGCAAAAAGTTAATGAAGATCATGTGTCAAATGAAATGTATAATCGGTCACACATACCTTTTTTGCATTCTTATAGGACCTATGTGGTTTGTCTTATGGAATGTATAAGCACAAACGAAGTGACAGACGACTAACTGGCTAAGAAATCCATTAAAATAATGTGGTTCACTGTAATAGAATTTTCTTGGAAGCTTGTGCCATCATCCACCAGCTGGGTTAGTTTTTTTTGTTTTGATTTGAACAAAGTTGATTTAGTGTACAATGGTTGAAGAGTGTATCATTTTGTCATTTTTTTATGCATTTCAGTTTTGAGTAGAGTGAAAGAGATAGAACCAAAACATTCTAATACATTTGGTGAAAATGCTAGTACAATCCAGTAGTAGCATAGAGGTAACTCTAAGACCACTGGGTCCCGAAGAAAATCATTATTATTTTTGGCTCACTCAGTACCAGAACAACGGTCCCAAGCAGTCCCAAGCTATTTCACTCACCCCTGCATGTTCTGCATGAATCCACACACCCCTGATGTTATCTGTCAAACTTTCATAGCGAATCAAAACAAACATAGTGTAGTAATAGAATTTCAACTAGAATAGGGTACGTTAATCGTTTGCTTGGGACCAATAGGCTACTAAAGTGGTGAGCCAATTTAAAATCGTTAGTTTCGTATTGATTGTTGGTAGCTGGGAGGGAGAAACAGACTCGGAAAATGTGAATGTCAAGTGAAGCCAGTAATGAGCTGTCACAAACTGTCAGTGGGAGCCAGCAGTACAAAACATCAATCAATGGGAAGTATTGATATCGAATGCAAAATATTTTCTTGCTTGAAAACAATTTTCATTGCAAAATTTTCGTTTCTTCAGTTCAGGAATCGGTATGTAATTTAGCTAAATTGTAGTGTATCAAGCATGTTATATCGTAAATTTGATAGTTTTCTCAAAATGGAGAGGGTTGTAGAGATATTCAGGTACGGTTACTCTAAATTTTCGGGTTCGTGTCGGGAACGAGTATACGAAGAAAATATTTTTGAGTTCGGATCGGGTAAGGGGTATATTTGGGTACGGGTAGCATCGAGGGGTACGCACAAACTTCAACTCCGGCACAGGAAGTATCCGTAATTAAATTAATTTTACTAATTACAGGGGTCAGGTCGGGTATCTGAGCAACTTGAATGAATTTTCCTTCTCACTAGCTCTAATCCTTGAGCCCGAATGAGTTTCTTCGTTACACGCTGTACCACAGACCGCTTCACTTTGTGGTTCGAACTTTTCCTCCAAATCTAGACCGTTCCTGGTGACTTCCGGGTCTGAATCCTCTTCAGTGTTCTGTTCATCTTTTTCATCTCCAATAGCAACCCATTCAGGTACCACAGCAGCAAAGTTCGCGTAGTTATGATCCAGAAGAGCCGGCGAAGAGTAGAGGGGACGGGATTTATAAAAGTCCAACAACCGATCGCTCTCTTTCGGTTCGTCTTCAGGAGGTAGCAAGAAAGCTTCAATCGACGCCATCTTTTTTTTCGTTTTCTTCCCATTTTTATCGACGCGGAAGCAGTCCTCTAAGAAATGGGCCTGCAAATAATTAAAAAAGATCATAGCAACATTGATAAAATGCGAAACACTTGTACCATAGAGGTAACTCTAAGACTAGAAG